GATGATGATGAGTCTAGTTATCTAGCCCTTATCCTGCAAGTGAACCTGAGGGGTCGACTGTTTCTCTCCAACTTACTCAAGGCTTACCATGGCCAGTAATGAAGACTTTGCACCCTTATTAGGATCACTAAGGCTTACTCTTTCATCATGTTGCCCCACAGATTTAAATTCACCCGGTCCCCCGACTTCAGGCTTTCATTTGACTACGAGTCTGAACACTACTAGTATTGCCCCCTCTCATTGAGCACTATCACCTCAGTCCAGTCCAAATCATCCACCCAGGTCATTACTCGTCCTCCAGAAAACATTCCTTCATTTCCACCATCCTCTACTTCACCTCCCCCACCCCCACAGCTTTCTTCATCTACTACCCCTTATTACTACTCTGCAGTCTTATTGTCCAGTACTACCTCTCTCAACACTACTCCCTCTTCCACACGTGCTCGCACTTCTACAATCCTTTAGCTCAGCCAAATGGGATCTATTTTTCATTATCCTTCTCTTCCAGGAATGCCTCCAAAAACAAGTAGGCAAAGTTCCCTTCCGCAGCTGTTCCTATAATTCCCGCTAAAACATTATCAACCTACCTAATTTCACTGGCAAACCCATTCCTGCCAAGCCTCATCCCTCCCTCAATACTTGTACAGGAACTGGCTCCATCTCCCCAATAAACTGCCCTGTCTATAGCAAAAATTGGTCAGGTTGTGCAGAAGACACACTTGCCTGCCTCTTGGACTATGATGCAATATCACTACAATGCTACACTATTCCTCCAGAGGCCACCGTAAGTCTATCGCCAATATTGCCACTGACCAGACCTCAACCGTGATGTTTATATTGGCAGAGATTCCCTTCCTGTCCGACCATATCAACCCCCCTCCTCTGTTAATGTCAGAATTATTAGCTTCTTGGTCACCCTGCCAAATACTGCCAGTTCACAGCCCGACGCCCAACCTGGTCATAATCGATCAAACCGCTCCATACAATTACACATGTGTGCTAGTTGTGGTGGCTCCCATAATGTATGCTATAGGTGCTGCCCTACCTACAAGTTTGGGTCCGAGACGAGACAGGAAGCACGAGGTTTTTCTCTTGCTTCATACACCAGTACTGTCCTTCACTCCACCCTTCCCCCTCCCTCCCACTCCACTTCAGAGACTCTCGAAGATATATAAAAAAAATACATATCTAATCATGACCCAAGATAACATGCTTACACCTCATTCATCACCCAATCTCTCTGCTCACATTCCTTCTATACTCTATCCTGAAACTGTGATGTGATCGCCCTTAAACCCCTTTCTGCTTTTGTTAATCCCTACATTACCCTACAGACAGGGGGGGTGGCATATCTCAGTGGTAGAGCACTGGCTTTGCAATCGCAAGGTCCTGGGTTCGCGCCCGGCCGCCGCCCCTCTCAGTCGACTCAGCTGTGAATGAATACTGATATGCTGACGTTAGCATGTTGGGGTCAAGGTCGGGGCGGAAAGGAACTGGCCACCCTACCGCATCATCCCGCGGCTTAGTAAGCATGTTTCTCTGCAAACATGTCCCCTACTTTCACATGGACATGGGAGCAACTTCAACAGAATCCCACACTTGTCTTTAACAGCTTTGATCTAATCGCCCTTGTTAATCCCTACCCTCCTGAACTACTATACGATGTTTAACATGTAGAATCTTTAATCATTAACTAGCCTCCTCTTTACCTCTTTCACTATTACACCTTTCTATAGTGATAGATAATCTTTGATGTCCAGCACATTTATTTTGCTTTGTAACCACTAACCATTAACTGTTATTTATTATTATTATTATCATAATTATTATTATAATGATTATTTTCGTTATTAAGATTTATTATTATTATTATTATTATTATCATTATTGTTATTGTGATTATTTTTGTAGTTGTTATTGTTATTATTATCATCATCATTATTATTACTATTATTAATAGTAATATAATCATTCCTATTATTGTTTTTGTTTTTGTGATAGTGATTACCATCTAGTAACGGCTTCCTGAGGAAAAGTAAACCGCTGAAACTGTACGATACGGAGGGAAAAAAGAAAAAAAGAAAAAGGACAAACTCTTTCAGAAAGTTTCGAAATGATCTCGATTTTATGCCATTAAACTTAAATTTATTTGAAATTTAGCAGAAAAAAGGTAATTGCAAGATAATGCAAGTGCAGATAAAGGCGCTACTGATAAGGCCTATACATGCGTGGAGTAGATGATTCAACGCGTGATTATGCGCATGGCAGCCCTAAAGTGGTGGTTACTACGTGGAAAGTCTTATAATTGTGTGAATGAGTGAGTGTTTGGGCGAAGGCAAGAAAATCTTAAATTATCGTTTATATATATATATATATATATATATATATATATATATATATATATATATATATATACATACACATACATGTGTGTGTGTGTGTGTGTGTGTGTGTGTGTGTGTGTGTGTGTGTGTGTGTGTGTGTGTGTGTGTGTGTGTGTGTGTGTTTGTGTGTGTGTTTGTGTGTGTGCGTGTGTGTGTTTATGTGTGTGTGTGCGTGTGTGTGTGTGTGTGTGTGTGTTTGTGTGTTTATGTGTGTGTGTGTGTGTGTGTGTGTGTGTGTGTGTGTGTGTGTGTGTGTGTGTGTGTGTGTGTGTGTGTGTGTGTGTGTGTGTGTGTGTGTGTGTGTTTGTTGAGATCAGGGTATATTTAACTTCACCTACCGTATGCGTCTTGTCCAAAATAGACTGAAAGAAATATGCAAAGCACCACTAAATGCAACAATCTTAAGTTAAAGCAATGTACTTAAAAAAATTGGTGCTACCTATCTCAAAAGTACCTTCCGTGGTTTAGACGAACATTTGTAGAAGGCGAAAACTGGACTCGTTATTTCCTAACCTGCCCAGACTCAAGACGAAGCTGACGAACGGACAAATCCGATTTTGAACGAAGGTCGAGCAAAATCTGACAGTGACATGACTCGCCACGTCTCAGCCACTCCACTCGGCGGCCGTTATTCTAAAGCCGGAGATAGGCAAGTATGGCTTCAAGCATAGCTCCCTTTCCATATTGTATCCGATCGGCCACAGGGAGATATGGCTTTAAGCATCTTGTGGGCTTCGTTAAGAGCGAAGCCTTGTGGTCGTCCAGCAAGAACTATGAGAAGTGGCGTAGTTTAAATAAGGAATGGAGTTATTATAAAGCAATATCCAGGCCTATGGTGATCCTAGAATAAGGTCTGGAATAATAGAGTATTAAATACCTTCAATAGGTGAAAAGACAACAACAATTATTGGTCTCTACAAGATCGTTCAATGTGTAAAATGTAAAATGTGTCACCATTAAAAATAAAATGTAGGAAAACCCATTATACACAAACTAGAAGTCTCTCTCTCTCTCTCTCTCTCTCTCTCTCTCTCTCTCTCTCTCTCTCTCTCTCTCTCTCTCTCTCTCTCTCTCTCTCTCTCTCTCTCTCTCTCTCTCTCTCTCTCTCTCCTTCTGTTTAGTTTTTTCTACTCACGATTTTTTTTATTGTTTTCACCTGATTGCTCCATCTGCCCTTATTAATTTTGCTTTTGAATAATTAATTAGACATGTCTAGATAATTTGTACAATAATGTATTTTTTTCATAACCTAATCAAATAGAAATTAAATACGCTTCGTCACCCATTTTTACACAATAAGCGACAATAACTTTAATTATGGTTGCTTCTATAAATTTCCGAAGATTAAATATCGCAGACAGAGGGAATAAAAATCTGCTTGATCATCACTAACTTTTATCTTAAATAATTTCCGTCACAAGGAGATAACACTACTTCACTTTTATACATTATACATGGCATTGTATTTGATTTAGGACTATATGAGAATGTAAATTTGCAAAAGATAACACCAGACAAAATTTGGTTGATTGGAAAGTGTAAAATGGAAAGAAATAATAAAAGAAACGGAAAAAAGGGAAGATGAATGTGAATGAAAGCGACAATCAAAATAAAATACAATAAAATTATTTTACCATTATACCAATCACGGAAAATACAAAATAGCACTGTGTTTTGTCCTTTTCTCAGTAGTAATATTTTTGTTATTCTTGTGATTTTTTCCTACTCAGTCGAAAGAAGCTTTTTTTTTCAAGAATTCACTTCATTATTATCTATTTGTTCCACCTATTAATTTCATTCACGAGTAAGAGAGACCTTCGCAGGTGGAAGCGAAGGGTGGATGCGGCTATGCGCCCCTGCCGGCGGTAGCTCTAAATGATTGATTGATTGATTGATTATCAAACCGCTAATCTATATCTAAAAACAAAACAAAATAAAACAAAAGAAACATAGTAAGAATTCATTAAACCGCTTACCAATAAAAAAACAAAACAATAATCATTTCCCTCTATTACAATCTTCTCGAATAGATAATGAAAAAAGCAAATCTTATATCTTTTTAGCGACGATTTCCACCACCAGGGCCAGCAGCGACACCAGGAAGCCGATGAGGAGGATGAAGAAAGCCGCCTGGTGGAGGAAAAAGGAACTATTTCAAATTACAAATTAATTTTTTCTTGAAAAGATTCCAGAATGGCGATGAAATTAATGCTGTTCATATTTGTACTTATTTGTAAACTGTTTTAGACAGAATGTGGTCTGAGTAATAGGACATACTTTATAATATATTTTGCATACCTAAAATAATCATTTCACCCTCGAAATATACTATATATATACATATCGGAATATACTATATTACACCTTAGTTCACATCATAATAAGATATTAACCGTAATATATTACATCATGCTTAAAAAAACAAACTTGTTCCTAAAAAAAACTCGAAACAAGATCGAAAAAAATAACATAAACTAGCCCTCCCCCCAAAAAACAACAAAAAATAAAAAAATCGAAAAATCAAATCCCAACCTGAAGGTGCTCGAGGGTGATCGCCGAAGGACCTCCGGCCACGCCCTTCCTCGAGGTGCTGCTCGTCCTCGACACCTTCTGCAC